CCTGTTTTTCGGGAAGAACTCATTATATAGTTTGGAGAAACCGTTAGGGTCACCGATGGCCTGTTTGTCCTTTTCCCGAACCAGGGGGTCGGGGATGCTAGGAAGAATGCCGTATAAATAATCGGATATTCCCTGTTCGGATTCTGTCATGGAGCGCTCGTACGGCTGGGGCTCGGCCGTGACCTGCTCCTCGTCCATCGGAGCCTGGGTCGCAGGCCCGACCGGTCCGGCCCTTTGGGCGACGAGACGCCGCCTTCTGGATCGGATGGCCTGGACCGTACGGCCAGGAAGGAGAGGGACCAGTTCGGTGTCCGGGACATCGGGTGGCGCCTGCTGGAGGACTTTGATCTCTTCAGCTGACCATTTGCGACCAGTCCTTCCTTAGTTGGGTGGTCGTTCCTGGGGCTGTCGGGAACCACTCGAGCCCGGCTACCGTCCGGGCCGGGACATTGGGCTTCGCTTTCAAGCGACTTCAGGATGGCTTTATAGTCGTCCTTCTTCCGCCTGCAGCTGATCTGATCCCTAGTGCGTGCCAAGTAGAGAGTTAAGTAAGAGTTCATGTGTTGCACGCCTTTGGACAACGCCTCGTGCTCTATCGCAGCCATACGCTCCAACTCCTCTCTCGTCCATCGAGCGTAGGTGCGGACGTTTGAGCGACGTGAGGCGTCGCGCCTTTTCTTAATGTCATTCCATTCAGCTGGGTGTTTTTTCCATATGTGGGCGGCTAGGCTGGATGCTCGCGTAAAAGCGCACGGGCAAACAGGGAAGCTACAACGGTGGGGCAAGTCTTCCGGATCGGCAAGGAAGTTTATAGAGTTTTTGGTGGCCCACGTCTCGTGGGTGGAGGTCGAAGCAGTTTTTTCAGAATCTGTACCAAGTAAAATCAATCTAAGGGGGATGGCAACCCCACAGAGATCGGCGCATTCAGGAAGCACGGTCACCCCACATTTAATGTCTGCGGCCGACGTCTGAGCTCTTAGCAGCGGGACCCGATGGGAGGGGGCCCAGCACCATTCCGCCCTCAAGGACCAGGGACCCTTAAGAGAGTCATAGTTACTCCCGCCGTAAAACAGTAAAAGTAAAAGACACACACAGCCCCACTACCTCTACCAGCGCAAAAAACTACGCCCGGACATGCTCAAATATGAGCCGTCTTTTGAAAAAAAAAGAAAAATTACTACAACTCAAAGAAGAGCTAAAAACTAAGGAGCACAAACCGGAAAAAAAAACAGGATTCGCTGTTTCGGCACCGTCTTCCCCTGTGCCAAATAAACAACCTATGGCCTCTCCTTCAAAGTCCAAAGTACAAACAAATACGTCCAAGAAGTCATCCAAATCTTCATCTCCCATTCCTTCCCCAAAGAAAACACCAAATAATTCCCCTCATAAAACTGAAAACCCAAAAAGGCAACGAAGCCCATCGACGGATTGTCCGGAAGAAATAGTTGAAAAAAAAAAAAAAATAAAAAAAATAAAATCCAAACCACTTTTCAGCACAGGGGAAGACGTGTGCCGAATCTCAAAGGATATCGAAGATCAGGCCAAAAAAGACAAAAATTTAAAACATCTTCTCAATTTTAAAAGACTCAACAACTTAGACGTAGAGAACCCTCAAAATTTCCCAAAGGCAAAGAGGGTCCTCACTGTTGTCCAATCTAAAGCTGCGGGGAAACCAATATGGGCCATGATGGCGGAAGCGAATGAAACGTTTGCATGTTTTCCGCCGATGGCGTGTTTTGACGACGATGTAGTTAAAGATCTACGACAATACTGTCCAGGAAGGTTACCAGTTTTTGTTCACCCTCCTGTATAGAGCCTTAAAACTAACCTTCCCCTGGACATTGGCGGCCTGTCTCCTGATGGTACCATCAAGAGTGAGATGGGTACTGGCTCATTGGGAGAGGCCGTTGGTGTCCTGTCCCCGGCCATGTTCAATGCAGGAGAGCAACCCTAATCGGTTTTCATCATGGCTCTCTGGTTAGCAAGTGTGAATGCCCGAGGCCTGAGGTCGGAGTCTCGCAGGGCGAGGCTCTCTCGTGACCTTCAGCGTCTTGGGGTGAATATTTGTTGTGTACAAGAGACCCGGTTTTCTACTCACGACTATGAGAACATACTGTCTCCCTCTATTCAGCCTGTTTTGATGGACGTTCTCTTGTCTGGTAAGCAAGTCTTTGAAGGCTGCGTGTGTCCGTGTCTTCGCGGATCCGGCGGGCAGACTTTGCGTGCTGGACGTTACCATAAAGGATAAGGCTCTTCGTCTCATTGGGGTTTATGCGCCCAATGCCCATGCTGAGCGGCCTGCTTTGTTTCGGCAGATCGAGCCGTTTTTGACGACATCACGGCGGGTAGTTTTAGTGGGTGATTGGAATGCCGTCCTTGATCCCGATATAGATCGCATAGGGCAATTTTCGGGTACTAACAACCGGGGTGTTAAACAGTTTCGGGACTTTATCGACGGGTTTGATCTTGTCGATAAGTACCGGAACGAACACCCTCGGGGGGTAGTGTGGACTTGGACTAATAGTGGCGGCTCGGCTAGTTATCTAGACCGAGTCTTAGTTAAGAGAGTCGACGTAGGGCTCTTAGGGTGTCCAAGTTTCCATGAGATAGTTTATACGGATCATAGGCTTGTCCGGGTCCGTGTAAACTTAGATAAACCTAAAGGTTAGGATGGCTGGCTACTGGAAATTAAACTCATCATTATTTGGTGAGCAAGATTTCCGGGACCAGCTGCTACTAATGATACAGAGGAACTGACGGGAGCGGTTGTGGGAAATGCCTGGTGGGATAATTTAAAATCCAAAATTAGGACGTTTGCTGCTGATTATAGTCGTCGGCTCAATCTAGATAGATTAGCGGCGCAAACGGCTTTAGAGCAGAAGGTTGATCGGGCAGTCAAATCCCGTGTTAGTGGGGACATAGCTTTAGCTAAGGCAGAGTTGGCCTCCTTGCTTATCAAGAAGGATCAAGCTCTGGTAGTTAGGGCTAGGTTAAAAAGAATGTCCCCTGAGGCAACGAATATGGCCGCTGAATTGCGCGCAGAGGAAGCTCGGAATGCATCACGTCGACATATTGCGTGCGTCACATTGCCGGATAATCGGACTGTGACTACAAACGAGGGCATATGTGAGGCTTTTCGTGACTACTTTCAGGATCTTTTTACCAGGGAGCCCGGTCTGAGCCCTGCTCAGTTCGACGCCTATTTAGCTGACTTTCCCTGCCTCGAGGCAGCTGAAGCAGCTAGGTGCGAGGGTCCCATTTCAGAGTCGGAAATCTGGGAAGCGTTGAAACAGGTTGGCCTGGACAAATCTCCGGGGCTAGATGGTCTTCCGTATGAAGTGTACTTGAGGCAGTCGCCCGTTTTTGTTCCGCTGCTGGCACTGATTTTCGGCAACTGGATGAAGCAGGGGTCTATACCCCAACGCTTCACCAGGGGCGTGATCAAGTTGTTACGCAAGGACAAAAACAGTGGGGATGGGTTAGGTAACTTTCGCCCTTTAACTATGTTAAAACACAGAGTTAAAGATTTTGGCTAAGATCTTGGCTAACCGTTTGCAGGTTGTCCTGTCTCGTCTGATTGGCTCGGAACAGACTTGTGCTGTGAAGGGTAGAACGATTCAGGACAATCTTCATATGGTACGCCTGATCATCGAGCAAGTCGACAGTGAAGCCGCGCTGATCAATTTAGATCAGTCCAAGGCCTTCGATAGGGTTGACCATCGGTTTCTGGAGGCTGTTCTTTCGGCGGCCGGTTTTGGGCCGTACTTTCGCACCTGGATCCGACTTCTGTATGCGACTCCCGGTGCGCTGGTGGAAGTGAATGGGGTACGATCGGAGCCTTTCGTATTGTCTCGCTCCATTCGTCAAGGTTGTCCGTTGTCGCCGTTGCTTTACGTTCTTGCGTTGGAACCTTTCCTTCGCAAGTTAAAGGCGAATCCGGTCCTACGCGGAATTGCCCTGCCCGGTGGTAGCACATCGGCCAGGTATTCTGCCTATGCTGACGACGTTTCGGCTCTTGTGTCGAGCAGAGCCGAGATTGACGAAGTCAGCAAAGAAATCAGTTGTTATGAGATGGTGACAGGGGCCAAGATCAACCGCGATAAGTCTGTTGGCTTGCGGTTGGGTGCGTGGAAGGGAGTTTCTCTTCCCGGACCTTTCCACTGGACGGATGGGCCGGTCAAGATTCTCGGCGTCTGGTTCGGTCCTGATCTCCAGTTGGGAATGAATTGGTCGGAGGTCCGAGGGAAGGCCGAGATCGCAATTAATTTGTGGTCTCGGAGGAATCTTTCCTTGAAGGGAAGGCGGAAGTTTGTGTTTCACACATCTATCCAATTCTCCTTTACCGACTCTCGGTGCTTCCACTTCCGTGTAGCACTTTGCTGGCGTTAGTGAGGCTCTTGTTCTCCTTGTGGGGAGGCAAGGCCGCCAGAGTCACTCAGGGGATCTGTTGCCTTCATCCTTCTGAAGGCGGTCTGGGCATGCCAAGCATTGAGATTCGTCAACATATGCTTCGCATTAGATTTCTAGATCGAATGTGTCGCGAACCGGATGAGGAGGGCGCCTTCTGGAAGGAAGACGCCCGTAAGAACTTCCCATCCCTGAGAAGTGTGCACTCGTACGAGGAGGAGGCCTGCCGTTTACCCCGAGCCGAATGCTCCTTCTATCGCGAATGTCGTCTTGCTCTGAAGCGCCTCTTAAGGGCGTCGGATGGCCTCTCCAACGTCCAGGCGTTGTCTCTTCGGGCATTATATCAAGTGTTAGTCAGGGGGTCCGTTCCGTAATCTGATTGATAATCTGGTCTTACGAGTCTCGGCTCGATCAATATGGCCTTGGGCGCCCGGGTTAAAATGTCTAACGATGAGGCATCACTCACCTGGCTGATGATTCGTGGGGCCCTCTGGGTCGCCAAAAGACTTTTTCAGCTGGCTTGGAAAATTCTCCAAACTGCCGTCGCTGTGGTGGAGAGGTCGAGACCCTGTGTCACGCCTTTTTTCAGTGCAGGACGGTAGTGCCGTTGTGCAAGTTTGTTGAAGGCCTCATGGTTCGCATGCTGCGTGGAAAGCCGTTTGTCCTTCAATCCTCTTCCGTTTGTAGCAATGTGGCACCGCCGATGACGAAGGCTGAACAATTGCTAGGAGTTATGAGAGTCGTGATTTGGACGACGCGACAGAAGGGATTCTATGGAGGTGAGAAGTTTACCTCTTCCCAACTGATCTTGTACTTTAAGCATCAGCTTAAAGTCAAGATTAGGACGGAAAGGCGGCGGCTCCCTTCATCAGAATTCAGCAAAAGGTGGGTGCATCTTGCGCGTTTGTGTCGTGTGAAAGGGGCTGACCTTGAGTGGCATTTTGATGCCGGTTAGGCATTAGGATATTGCTTTTTCTGGGTTGAACTAGGGCAACCCATCCAGAAACTAGGTTAGATTAGGTTTGTTTGTTGACGTTTTAGTTTCTTTTTCTTTTATTTCGTTAACTTAGCTAGGGTATGTATGCTCATTGGTCCCTTTTATTTTTGTCCCTATTTTCTTTAAGTTTAATTTCCCATCCCCTCCCTCTTTAGGTGGTCAGTGATGTCAGTTCTCCGGTGGATGCGGGACGCCTTTCGTTTCGCGTGAGTGTTTTCGTATTTGTTGTTGTGTTTGAATGAGTGCGTGTTAGTGTGAGTGCGTGTTAGTGTGAGTACGTGAGATGGATGAATGATTTATTCTATTAGAGTCCCGCATTGATTTAGGCCAGAGAAATGGGATTATTGCCACAGTAGGTGATTGTGGGGGATTTTATTACTAATAATATTTTCCTTAGTTTCATGTAAATAGATTGTTCTCATATTGTAAATAAACATTGGGGTTAATTTTTAAAATTATTGTTATATTTCCCTCCCCTCACAGACATTGTATTGTATATATGGGGTTTAGTTAGTTTTTTCATAGAGACGACGAGGTATTATGGTGTTTGTAGTTTGAAAGGTACGTATAAATGCGTTGTTTTGGTGTCAGGATTATTAATCGTACGACTGGGTCAGTGACTGCGGCTAGCTAAGTTAAAACTAAGACAGTAGAAGACCGTCCTCTCCCCATTCCCCTATTTCGGCCTTGTGCCACATTTCTGTTTTAAATTGCAGAATAAATATTGTTACTCCCGCCGTTTACCCGCGCTTGGTTGAATTTCTTCACTTTGACATTCAGAGCACTGGGCAGAAATCACATCGTGACTGTACGGGTCGACCGGCCACACGATCATTTGTTTTAATTAGACAGTCGGATTCCCCCGGTCCGTACCAGTTCCGAGTTGACCGTTCGCTGCCGGACGAACGCCCCCACGCCGAGAGACGCTGAGCAACGGGCGGGACGGGCGCGCGTGCGAGCCGCCTGCGCGCGAACGCAGGTTGAGACCTACACGCGCCGCTTACCTGAAGAGGGGCTGGAAGCCGTGGCGCTCCACGAAGACCCGGGCGAGGAGCCGTTTTGCTCGCCGGCCGACGCGCCGGTAGCGACGGGGTGGCGCCGCGAGCGGAGACCCGTAGCGAATGCGACACGCGAGGCGCGAAACGGGAAAGAGGACAGAGAAGGGAGCGGAAGACGACGAGCGTAAGCAGCGAAGAACGGGTTGACTCGGAGTTCGTGAACGACGCATCGCGCACAGACAGACGACCCGATATGAGCCACCGCCAGATGCACGAACGCGAGCGCCTGTCGCCCCGTACCCGAAAAACGCCGAACACCGCCTAGCCCGACCCTGCGACCCCCCGACCCGAGCACGACCGCGACGCCGACGGACCGCTACGACACTTTGAACCCGCGCCGCAAAGCGCGAACGGAGCGAACGCTACAGCCCCGTACCGGTTCCTCGCTTCGCACGGGCACGGCCCGACCGACCCGGTCCTCGGAGCCAATCCTTCTTCCGAAGGTACGGATCCATTTTGCCGACTTCCCTTACCTACATTGATGCCATCGACGAGAGGCTGTACACCTTGGAGACCTGCTGCGGATGGTGGGTACGGACCGACTCGAGAGCTGCGAAAACCGGACCCGGATTTTCCAGGGCCGCCGAAAGCGCACCGGACGCCGCCCGAGCCGCGGCGCTCTACAGGTACCTTTTCCGTATCTCCGGACGAGCCGATTCCACGGACACGGTCCTTTACGAAGAAGAGAGAACTCTTCCCGGGTCTCTCGGCGACGTCTCCGGGCTCGCTTGCGTCACCGCGGTTTCGCCCGAGAAGCGACGAGACGCCACCGACATCGCTGCCAGCAGCGCCGCCACCCCCCGGGCACTCTCCGAGTGCGGGTTCTGGAATATTAACCCGATTCCCTTTCGACGGCGTTTTGTTTGAGGACAACAAAAGAGAGACTTACGGATCCGGCGCCTTTCGGGAAGACTTTCGCCTGCGTCTTAGGACCGACTGACTCGTGGTCGACCGACGTTGGCACGGAACCCTTCTCCACTTCGGTCTTCGAAGGTCTCGTTCGAATATTAGGAATATTAGACGGAAGAAGCGGGACATTTACGACACCATCCTATGCGGCGGCGACGGCGGGCGGACCTCCCGGCTTTGATCGTTAAAAAGACGTTTGATTTTACGGCGCTTTCACGAGGAGATTTGTAAAGTAGATAGTGAGGCGTACAAAAAAGGGCCTCTCCAAATAGAGAAAAGCCCTTCTAGGCGTACTTTATAAAATGGAGTCCGTAGAGGGGAAAAACATTGAGGATGCCCGAAATTTCCCTCGAGCTCCAGGAGTTATAACCTGTGTAAGAGAAACCGGGAGCCAGCTGGAAGCATGGAACCATCTATATGAAGCGAAGGCAGCGTTCCCTAACATCAGAATGTTTGAGTTGGAAAATTCAAATTTAAAAAAAAACTAAGGCAATTTTGCTCTGGGAGCTTCCCCGTGTTACTCCACCCCTCCTTATATAGAGCAATCAAACTAACTTACCCCACGGACGTCGGCGGGATTGTCTCAGAGGGACGGATGACGTCGGAGTTAGGCGTAGGGAGCCTGGGACAATCCGTCGGGGTAGTGTCAGCTGCAGATTTCCACCCCGTATGCGAGTAGGTTTTTGTACTTATTCTTTTTTCAGGCTTAGAAGATGGAAATTAAGATAGCGACGTTGAATGCAAGGGCTTGACGGATCGGGGTAAGGCTGCCCGCCTGCTCCGGGACCTCTTGTCCTTTGGTGTGGATGTTGCCGCGATCGAAGAGTCCTACTTTGCAGTTACGATGCGTGTGTGCTGGAGGACGACTTTGTCGTCTATTCAGCATATGGGGACCGGTTTGCCAGAGGAGTTTCTTTGCTGGTAAGACGTACTCTTGATTCGAAGGTGGACCTTGTGCATACCGATGCCGAGGGCCGGTTGATATATTGCCGTGAAAAGTGGTTCGTTCCGAGTCGTTGCGGTTTATGCACCCAATGACGGGGAGGAGCGGGTCTCGTTTTTTCGGCGGTTGGGGCCGTTCCTGGTGGATTCGACGCGCCTAGTTCTAATGGGGAACAAGAATGCCATCCTGGACCCCAAGTTAGACGAGATTCCCAACCTCCCCAGTTTATTTTTCATCTCGATTGGGTCAGCTTTATATTTTTTCATGCCCGTATAATATTTTATCCTTTTCCCACTCCCTTAGCGAGAGCGCCTCTTGATTGTGTCCAACGGGCAGAATACAGCGGCCTGTTTTGAGGGTTGAACGGGCCCTGCTAACATCAGTTATGTTTAATTTGAATTATGTTTATATTTTAGTTGATTATTGGGTTCATCTCCCTTCCCTCTCATTGTTTCATCATAGAATTTTAAGTATTTTATTATCATCAAATTTTTATGGCGTGGGGCGCGTTTTATAGGTCCCCCTTGTGAGGATGTAGTATTTTGGTGCATGGTAGATTGATTGGTGACGGACGAGTTCTTATGGTAAATGGATAAATTGTAATGTATGAATGGGTCGTGAATCAGATTACCTAGGTATAGGATAGTTAGTGTTGACCAGCCTTTACCCCTCCCCTTTTTCGGTCTTGTGCCACAATTTTGTATTTTTATGCAAAATAAATACCCCAGTACCAACGTACCCACTAGTACATAATATCCAAGCAAGTCTCTTGTTGGATTCTTGCGTGTGTTGGACAAGCCTCGTGTAAACGTCGAACCGTTAAGTTTTTGATTTGAAGTTTTTCATTTGAAGTTTTTCATTTTAAGGTTTTGATTTAATTTTCTAAAACCTTTTTTTTTGAATTTTCAGTTTATTTGTATCTGTGCATTTTTTCTTTTGTTATTTCCTTTCTTACATTCTTTACTCCCCCCCGTTTTTGTTTGCGTTATTTATTGTTTACTCTTTCGTTTGAAATTATCTTTAGTTGTCCACGTTTTTCTTTTCTTTTATTTTGTTTGTATTGGATATTGCTTTTGTTTCAAATAATTTAAAAAACAAGTTTAAAAGGAAAAGACACTCATTCAGTCGTGGTGGTCGTTTCAGGCCATCATGAACGAGAATGAAGATAATTCAACACCGCCGCTGTCTTCTGAAAATACGGCCTGGTCGGAAAATAGGACGAGGAAAAAAGGACGCTGAATATTATTTTGAGGGATTGTTTAAGGAGAATGAATTCCTCACGATCCCAGAGGCGTTGGAAGCCGTGAAATGTAGAATTATATCCCTGCTGACGTCCGACGTAAAAAGTCGTAAATTAACTGGAGTCAGCAGGGAGACAATGGAAGAGATCTTAAAGACCTTAAAAATTTACCCGAAGGTACTGGCAAGGCGAACAAACACTTTATGGGACTTTCTCCTGCCAACCGAACAAGACGCGAAGCAGTTAGCAGGCAGTGTGCTGACAACCAGAAATCTCAAGTTGCAGACAGAGTACATGGATACCCGTAGGACTAAGAAAACAGTCCACGGTGTGTCCGTGGATATTTCGGAGGACCGGATGGGAGCCTTCTTCGTCCAATTTGGTAAAGTAGAAGAGGTGAAGGCGAGTGGGAAAGTCCTGCATTTCGACGGGAGATGTGGAACTGCAAGTAACGCTAAACCAGGAGGACTTCAAGAAATTACCCAATACTCTGGTATGCAGGGAGAGGAAGATGTGGGTCGTAGTGGAGGGCAGGCGACCGATTTGTTGGTTTTGTGGTGTCCTAGGAAATGGCGAAAGATTGCCCGGCGAAACGGCCTCAGCCTGTAACTCGGCCCACACCTACATCAGAAGCAGAAGTAGTTTCAGCGACTGAGAAAAAGGGGGAAGCGGACAAAAGCACTGATGGCGCCTGGAAGGAGGTGGGAAGTGGTAGGAGGGCGAAGAATTTACCACCTCCCCCACGAAAAGGAGACTACTGAGAAGCCTCCACCACCACCACCACCAAAGCAGGTGGAAAAGGAAGGAAGATAAGAAAAGATTGAAAAACCGGAAAAGGAAGTGGCGAAAAAGCAGTCGCCCCCACCAAAAAAAAAAACAGCAGCAAAAACAACAGCAAGAGCAGCAACAGCCGCAAAGTGAGGTGGGAATGGAGGTTGATAAAATGCCTCCACCTAGAGTAGTCTCTCTAAAGAGAAGCAGAGAGGAGGAGGAGGAGGATGAAGAGAGAGAATCATATAAACACTCCGGGCGTAGTAGGGCGGAGTGGGGGTAGGAAAAAACCAGGTCCATCTCTCCGTCCCTGCTGACCTGAAGGAAACGGTGTTTCCCAAAATTAGGAGTCTCCCTTCTTCCTCTTCACGTGCCCCGTCCCCACTCTCACTCAAACTCTTCCCTTTGTTCACCCCCGCATCAGTCAACTGACCCCACTTCCCACGACTCCAAAACCACCAAGAAGAGACTCTTCGCGGGTCCGGAAGAAATTTGTGGGGTGGAGGGCGAAGAATATAAGAAGAGCCAGTCCGTCAGAAAGAGGGTCCAACTAGGACTCTTGTATAAAAAGACAAGTGTTTTGGAATCTGTGGAAGATCCCCGGAATTTTCAAGGTGCCCCGGGTGTTATTAAGAGAAATTGGGGGCCCTTTAAAAGTATGGAACCACTTAACAGTGGCGAAAGAATCCTTCTCTAATATGAGAATCGCGGAGATAGATTCTCCGTATTTGAAGAAACTGCGCCAATATTGTGCCGGGAGGGTCCCTGTTGTTCTCCACCTCACACTATATAGGCGTCTAAAATTAACCTATCACACAGATGTCAGCGGGATTGTCCTATATGGACGTCAGAGCTAGGTGTAGGGAGCCTAGGATAATCCGTCGGGGTCCCGACTGACTCAGATTTCCGCCCCGCATGTGAATAGGTTTACGCACTTTTCTTTATTTTTGAAGGCTTAGAAAATGTCTATCAAGATAGCAACGCAGTATACGAGGGGCCTGAGGGATCGGGGTAAGGCAGCCCGCCTGCTCCGGGACATATTGTCCTTTGGTGTGGATGTTGCCGCGATCGAGGAGACCCACTTTGTTTGCAGTTCCGATGCGTGTGTGCTGGAGGATGACTGTCGTCTATTCAGCATATGGGGACCGGTTTGCCAGAGGAGTTTCTTTGCTGGTTAGATGTACTCTAGAGGCGAAGGTGGACCTTGTGCATACCAATGCCGAGGGCCAGTTGATCGTGGCCGATATTGTCGTAAAAAGTGATTCGTTCCGAGTCGTTGCGGTTTATGCGCCTAATGACAGGGAGGAGCGGGTCTCGTTTCTTCGGCGGTTGGAGCCTTTCCTGGTGCATTCAACGCGCTTAGTTCTAATGGGGGACTGGTATACCATCCTGGAGCCCAAGCCAGATATGGGCGGGGAGCTAGCGGGGGAAGGGGCGATCGTAGTCTGGTTGATCTGATCGACGATTTTGGTCTCGTCGATAGATACCGGGTCGATCATCCCGGGAGGAAAATGTGGACGTGGGCGCTTAAGTAGCCTCCTGACAAGGTGGTTAGTTACCTTGACAGGATGTTAGTGACAAGAGCTGTCATAGATTTGTTAGATTGTCCTACGTTTTACTGGGTAGGCTATACGGACCACAAACTCGTTTGTGCCCGGGTGGCGTTAGACAATAGGCCTAGAATGGCTAATTACTGGAAATTCAATCTGTCTTTACTGGACAGGCGGGATTTCCAGGAGCAGCTAATTAGTGACAGCAGATGGGCTCTTGTCCTATCCCGTGGAGCTTAAGGAAGTTGAAAAAATAATTGTGTCAGTCTTGGTGGTGGACAAGCGTTCGCGCAAGATTTGTCGCTCTACAAAAGACACTGTCATTAAAGCCTTGGCTTCTCTGGGTATCAAATCTCAGCGAGTCATTAAAGGGAAAGGCTTCTTCCTGTGGGACGTACGCCTGTCGACAGCTTCAACACGTAATCTCATCACAGAAGACCTCATATTGCGGACCGAGTACGAAGGCAGGCGGAGGACCAATGTTTCGGTATACGAGGTTCTTCTCAGATTGTCGGGGAGCATTTGGCCCCTTATCTGTGCCAGTTTGGACAGATACTCAGCGATTCCTCAGACGATCTGACCGTCTGTATTTAGAAGGCCAGAAGATGCCAATAATAGTTACGGA